CCCCCCCCCCCCCAATCACATGTAAATCACATTTCAAAGCCACAGTTTCTGGGCTTTGGCAGAAAAGCTGATTCACTGAGAAAGCTGACTCTACTGCCTCACAAGAAGTAACATCTTAGCAAATCTGCTACAGAAGCACCATACCTCCGTGACAACTCCTGCAGCAATAGTGGATCCACTGTAGCGTAACATAAACCTTCCTAGCTCCTTGAAATCTTTGTACAACTCAAGAGCAACAGGCCGTTGTGTCTGTAGTTCTATTAAAGCATTCTGTCCTTTAGTCAGAAATCTGTAAGTAAAATCATATGTTTGTATTTTATATACAAAGAACTCCTTGAGTCTCTCATTTCATAATTATGAACACAGCACTTCAGTGATAGTTCTTACTCCTTGATACTCTTTTAATTATATTCCCAAGGTTTACTACACCTCTTTTGGGCAAACATCAGACTGCAAACTCATGTTCAGCTAACTACTGAGCAGACTCAAGATCTTCTCTTTATTACAGAGCTACTTCTTCCTAGCTGACTAAGCAATCCAGAAACAGGACATCCTTGGTTCTCTGAATCCTTGATTAATCGAACAACAATTTTACTTGCTTGTAACTGCTGGTATTGTATAAGAAATTGTTCTCCTTTAAAGCTTTATTTAATGTACTGCATTTACCTGAAGCTCAAGTGACTCTGAATTAAGGCAACCCCCCCATAATTAGATTCTACACATGGAAACATTATACATTTGTTATTCTTTTTCATGTATAGAATCAAATTATTGGAGGGTCATCTTAAATTCATCCCCTCCACTGCTGCAGTGGGGCAAGCGGGGAAGCCGGCAGTAGGCAGACAGGTGGCAGGGAAGTCAAATGGTTTAACCCCTATCCCTTGCTGCCTGACATTTGTCCCCCTCAACCACTTGCCTCCCTTTGCTACCTGCCCCCCTCTTCCCTCTATGATGTCTGCTCACCCTGACAGCTGCCCCACCTGCCACTTACCTTCTCTCCTGACTGCCTACTCATAAACTTGTAACTATTGTTCTCTTAAGCTCTACAATCTTTAATATATGTTCGCTTAAGTTTGATGTGGTTTTGATATTTCATGATGTATCATGAATAATTATTTACAAGATGCTGCATTTTCACTTAAGTAAGTGGCTTTTCAGCAGGCTCTTTCTAAAGAGGTTTGGATAACCAAGGACATGTGGTAGTTCTATACTAGGACCAGAACCAACCAAGACACCAGAGTAATTTACACTGGTTTTGTATAGCAATGTAAATTACACTGGGGTCCAAGAGGGAGGGGGCAGGCAGTGGGGGGCAAGAGGCAAGAGTCCAAGGGGCAGGTTTGGGTTTGTATACAAATGCAAGTTACCATATCTACCTGACTGTAAAATGACCCCCACAAAATAATTAGATTCTGTGCATGGAAAATGTTATAATTTTCCATGCATAGAATCTAATTATAAAATTTCATCTTAAATTTGTCCCTCCCCACTGTTGTGGCAGCAAAAGCTGCAGTAGGGGGCAGGGGGCCAGACACCCATCCCTCGTGCCCCTGGCCCTTTTGCCCCATGCCTGCCCCCACCCACCACCTGCCATCTGCCCCACGATCCCTGCTCAGCTTCAGCTCTGCTTTCTGCTCCCTGCTGTATCTCCTGCTTTATTGCCTGTCCCCTCCCTAGTCTGCTGCATGATGCATATAGGGCCTACAAGTGCCACTTAGGGCATGCGTGCCACAGGTTGGCCACTGCTGATCTAAACTTTAAAGTGCTGATTTAGATTTTCTTCCCGGTAACTAGTAAAGTGTTAAATAGCCTGTGGCCAAGAAGTAATCCTTTTGGGAACCCCTAGTTATGTACTCATTCAGTGATAATCTTCCCATTTATAATTGTATCCCAAGATCTATTATTTAACCAGTTTAAAATAGCCAAATACTATACAGAAGTTAAAGTACAGCATTACCTTCACCAACCCAACTTACAATCTTATCCAATTCCCCCCATCCTTCCCGCCATTAAGGTAGCTTTGCAAAATAGGTTCCCCTTAAACTCCTGCTGATTGGTACCATCACACTACCTTCTTTCATACTAGTTGTTTAATCATATTCCACATTAGTCTTTAAATTATTTTATCTGGGATCAATGTCAAGCTAACAAGACCCATTATTACCTGGGTCAATCTATTACTTTTTAAATATTGCTATATCTATATAGATATATATCTATATAATATATATATTGCTATATACCTATCTTTCCCTCTTCTAGAACTCTGACAATCAATACTAATGATCCAAAGAGCCCTTGGGCCAACTCTTTTAAAACTATTTAAAAGTAGGTCTGTCTTGCATTTAAAAAAGTAACAAGAACAATGCACTTTTAACATCTTCAGTAAAAACTGCTGAAACGGGAAATATTTCATGCAGAAGATGACATGAAAACATAAACTGGGCTTTCCATCTAGTAAGAGACAAACAGGATTATTAGGATTCTATTTCTTTATAATATGGGATAATAAAGAGGTTTGTTTTTTTTTTTAACTCTGGAAGTCATGGATTTCTTCTTCTGTCCTTCTGCTTTCCTTATCAATTTTCTATTACTCCTAGTCTCTATTTTATATCCATTAATATTAACATCCCCTTTCATCCCTCTGTTATATTTTTTAAATTTGTGTAGCTGCTTTCACTTCCCATTTCAGCCAAGTGTTTATCCTGGGTAGGGCTTTTTATTGATTTGGTCTATTTAGACATTTAGAAAATCCTTAACTGCTCCAAATCATTATTTACATTTGCTGTCTAAATCCTTTCTTCCAAATGAACTGGCTCACAATTGTTTTCAGCTTTCTGAAATTGTCCTTTTAAAAGCAGACATCTGGAGTTTTTGTATTCTCATCTAAATTAAGATTTCTCCTGTGATTCCCTTTACATACCTTAAATAAATGTTAGAGCTTTTCAGGTTCCAAAAGAAATGTGCATGCATGGGGATGGAGAGAGGGTTACACATGTACATTTTATGTCCAGTTTTCAGAGCATCCCCAAGCTCACACCTATTACTGAATGACATACAAATAAACATTTTTCTACAAATGTGCAAGATTGTTTAATAATAATAAAAGTAAAACAACATTTTTTTTTTTTTTATAGAGATGAATATCAAAGTGCCTTAGGGTTCTCAACCTCTACATGTGCAGGTAAAGGTGCAATGGGATCTAATTTGCAATCCACACAATCTCATGTTAGATCCCATCGTACCTTATCATTGGTACAGGGGGAGGCTGCGATCATGATCCCGAGCTCCACCTGCACCAGCTCCTGCAGCTATGAGCCACACAGTTGATGGAACTCAGTGGGACTTGCAGCAGAGGCAGCATTCCCTGCACTGCCCCCACTGAAGGCCCTAAAGCCAGGAACGCTACCCTTCCTGCAAGCCTCACTGGTTGTAGGGCTCACAGTGGGTGGTGCACCCGAAGCCTCACTGGTTGCAGGGCTCACAGTGGATGGTGCACAGTGGCCGAGAGCCCCTAAATCGATGGGGTCCCCAGCCCCAGGAGAGCACTGGGCCACACATTCAATTAATGGTGTGATTAGAACAAGCTACATAGTTATTACACATTTTTTGTGGAATAAGTTTGTAGCTTAGCTGTTTTATCAGGCCATTGGTTGCTGGAACATGTGGCTAGGTCACAACTTAAAGCGTGATTGCCTGTTTAACGTAAGTGTACCTTATGTGTAATGTGTAGAGGGGGGGGCTTAAGAGACTATAGTAATTCATCTTTTCTATGGTGAAGGACTTCATAAAATCTTTTCATTGAGAGATCCAGTCACATTCTCTGGAAGCAGGCCATTCTGGTGATGTCAATCAGTAGCATGCCAAGAAGAACGTGGCTTTAAACAGCCAGTGTCAAAGCCACAATATAGACATCGTCTTGTTTGGTCTATTTCATAAAGACTTGACCAGAAACTGAAAATTATTCCTGGCTTTGCTAATAATTTGCTGTGTGACCTCTGACAAGTTGCTTTATCTCTGTCTCACATTGTGTAAAATGAGGATGATATTCTTCTTGCTTTGTATAACCTATAGCTAAAAATTCATATATAAGATATAAGCATATTATTATTATATCCTTAAACAGAGAACTTGTTCCATAATAGAGTCTCATCCAATCTGCTTTAGATTATGCAGTGCACCCCTGTCAAATTTCTAGTGTAATTATTAGTTACCTCAAAATACTTACTTAGGTTTTTTCTTTGTGACTTCGCCAGTATTCTTGTGAAGAACACTCAATAATCGCCTGATAGTGGCTGGCTCACTTATGGTTTGATAGTGTAAAAGCACCTAAAAACAACAAAAGTTTATTATTTCAACCAGCGACCCACATCTTCAACTAAAACCCTGCTTGCTAGCACCCAGAAAAGTCTTTAGATCCAAAGTGTGACTTCTGAAAAATCCTTTGTATTGATGCACAGGCCAAAGTAAGGAAGTGGCTCAAAAACCGCTTGAATTAGGAACACAAATCATTTACTGTATTTGCAGGCAAAGGCTCAAAGCACTCCTCAGTGAGGAACCTAACTTGTGTTCAGCACCCCATCTCTTCAATTAAAAAAGCAGTGTTTATCACCTAGAGAAACCACATCCCAGACTTCCTGTGATTTTTGTGGACACAATAATCATAGATCTCTCAAAGTCTGCAGTCTTCCATATGTTACAAATATATACTAATTCTTTAAGCCTTTTGCTCACTGTCTGCACTACATCAGTGCAATCCTGTAGCATATGCTGAGTTTTTCAGATAACTGAAAACCAGTTGCATTGTCAAACCCCTACATACACTGCCTCCAGAGTCTTGTTAATAAAAAGCTGGCTTAACTCCGTAAGTGAACTCCATATGCAGACATTACATCAAACCAGAAGCCTGCAAGAGCAGATATGCACTTCCAAACATGCAACTTTGAACCCTCTTTAAGCTACAGAAGACTCAGGTGGTTCAAGTGTGTCCCCTTTTTCATGAATGTGACATTCCTTTTTATAAATAGAAACGTACTAAGCCACTAAAGGAGAATACAAGAACGTTAAAACAGAAGAGTATCATGAAACTTACAGGGAATCCTTTAGTAATTGGGACCTCAATATTAAAGATGAGGACCCGAGCTCTGAAACGAGTGCAGACTCTGATGGGTTCCTTGGGACTGCAAAATACACAGCCCACGCTAAAAAAGGGAGGAAAAAAACCCAGTCAGACACCACTGTGTAAAACCCACTCAGTCTCCATTACAGTAGCACAAGGATTTTCTGTAGATACACATCCTGTAACAAGGAAGTCAAAAGAACTCTCTTTTGTCCATCCAGGACAGAATATAAACTGGCACAAGTTTTGACGTGTGGAGCAATTTGGCAGCCAACTTGAAAGCTCTATTTCAGTGGTCCATTTAGGATGCCAAAAAGAAACTGTAAGAATTTTCTATCTGATTACTTAGCATAGATCACAATTTACAGCTAGCCAATACTTCACTCCAAGACCAAGTCAGGCATACACTGTGTATGAATTCTATAAACTGATTGCACAAGCCATACGCTAAATAAGTCTGAACAGCTTAACTTATTTAAAAAAAAGAAATTACATGTTTTTTTAAATAGTGTACAAACAGAAAAAGGGGCAAATTTGTTGAAAGAATTGTTTGCTGAAAACAGTTTGTTAACCTGTAGTTAATAGTAAGATGCTGGTATGTGCTATTATTTGTTCAGATTTACTTTGCCATCTGTATGATTTACAGCTTGATGAATTCTCGATAAACATTTTATGTAAAATTATTAATAATATCTTAGAGCATGTTCTGTAATTCTGTGTACAAATTAGGAAAAGACCTTCTAAGGAAATGGGTTTTTAAAGTTACCCCGAAAGCATGAAGGTCAATTGATCACGAACTCTAACAGTATTCTGAGACTGCCGTTGCACATAAAGCAGATGTTTCCAACGTATGCACATGCAAGCCAGGTGATATGCATCACTTTGGTTTTAAATATCCTGGTAGCCAAATCATTCTTCAAGTAAACCGCTGATTGCAAAGAGTAATAGTTACATGGCTTTTCATTAAAAACAAACCGTTACTTACACCGAAACTTCATTTTGCACTCACTTGATTTTGATGATATCCATGCCGGTCAAAGTGAGACTAACGTGATCTCCTGCTGCAGCCCAATCAACTGGTTCATCATGCAGTGTGATTCCTGGAAATGAGTAAGAACAGAACCGCTGAGTGAAGTACCTAGGTTCTGAGTTACAAACAAACAGTTCTACTTGAGACATTTGTGCTTCATCAACCATTACTCATCAGTTTTCAGTATGAATGGACTGATAGTAAAAGCTTTTCAGCTAAGAACACAAAAGGAAACATTTTTTTTTGACTGGGACTCAGCAATCTTTCAAACCACCTTGCGTATTAATATGGCTTTGTCTAACTCATGGGAGTGGACTCAGTACCAATCACACAGTGCAGATGACGCGTTCTTGAAAATACCACTAAGTACTAATATCACAATCCTTGCCACACCCGTCCTGTGATGCACAGAGATACTCTACACCGCACCTTTCATGTTTCTTATTGGTACTTCTGTCAACTTTCATTTACCTTCAGTGGGTTTGCTCTCTTTCACAGAAGAGCGCAACGAACGTCTTTCATTTGCAGCAATGTAGCGTCTATTAGAAAGCATCTAAATAAGCATGGTTTGTAATGTATTTTAAGTAAGTTTGAGACAATCAGATGTAGACACTTGGGCAAGGATAAACAAGGAAGAATTTGTTTTATCATTGTGATGTTCTTGGCTGATACCAGGAGAAAGAGATCTTAGCAAAAGTTGGTTTTTGAGGGTTTGGTTTTGTTGTTTTTTTAATACTGCCCATTTCACAAATCTTGCTGCATTTTGTTGTAGAGCTTAATAAATAAAACACAATTCATGTTCCAAGTCTGTATTTATTGTTTTGTCTCCCTATCACCATGCACCAGGCTGTGCCTAGTGTCATTTAAATTCAAATATGTCAGTCATGAAAAAAGCAGTATTTGTTAAGAGATGCTGAAAATGACTGCACATAGGAGGTGACACTGCCATAAAATGATACATGAAGTTCAATTTTTTTGTTGGAAGTGATACGTTGGTTGCAAAATGGTCATAAATTAGCATATCCCTTGTTTGTATTGGAAGATAAACTAAAGTATTTTCTCCTCATGTGAAATAGTTAACAACAACTCCAGCTACACTTAAGCCACTACGTGACGCTCCAACTCTGACTGTACTCTGGGGGATTCTCAGGTGACGTGAAACGAGGGTAACTGTATCTATGCCACTCCCTCCTCTCCTATAACTAGCGTAGAGGTGTGGCCAGGGTAGCCCTGTAGCCAGCTTACCAGCTTATCATTACTACTGTAACATTCCCTTTTGCTCTCAGTTAAACCAGGGATCCAACGGACTGAGGATGCACAAAAAAAGTCACTGCTTGCTGCCACTTCTGTATACCCCTATCGTCTACTTATATTCTTCATCTCCAATCTATAATCATGGCAAACCTCCAGGGTACGTACGAGTTGTATCAGACATAAAATGATCGGTCTGAAAACCTCCTTACTCACTTTTTAAAATATATCCAGCTCCTACTTCTATGACCTTTACTATTGAAAACTCTATGAAGCTCTTGAATGGATTTGTTCTAAGCTGTGACAGACTCATGCTTTCACTTTTATCCATTTAAGAGACACGCATTTAATCCTTAGCACTTTAAATGTACTAGACATTAATTAGCTGAATATTTTCTCTCTCTCTCTCACACACACACACTTTCCCCTGAATTTAAAACTGATTCAAATTTTCTGACTCTAAACTTAAGATAAAAAAAATAAGACATCAAAAAAGATGCACTTACAAGGACAACATCTGTGGTGCACAGAACTCTTTTGAGTTTTCTTTTTTACTCTGATTAAAGAATCAGATTATTTTTAGAAGAAATCTCACCTTAACAAGTGCACCCTATACTGGAAAGAATATGACAGTTTCCCACCTTTTCACAAATTTACTGAAACAAATTCTTTCCAACACATTGTACCTTTTCTCTTTGTTGGCCTCCTTTGAAAGAAGGAATTCAGTTTTTTTACTGATTTATTAATTTGTTTTTTAAACTGCAGAACAAGATTTGAGTTTCTACTGCGTGGAGCCCAGTTCGACTGGCACCCTGTAACTGTCGATGGAACGTCTTTCAAGTAACTGCTTAGCATGTCCAACAGAGCATGAAAAAGCTTTACAAGTTAAAATTGTAAGGGCTGCAACATTTCGCAAGTCTTTCAAAGATAGATAGTTATACAAATACAGTCACATCTAAAGAAATTCGTTTTATGCTTTCACATTTTATGTTTGACAGTTAGTATCAGTTTGAATATCTGTTACCATTTCAGCAACTGCTTCTAGCTCAGTATTGACCTGAAAGTAAACAAGCCTTTGAAGACTATACCTTTTGCAGTGCAAGTTTCATTGGGAGGCATTGCCAGAAGTCTCTCTCCAACCTGAATATAGCCTGCTTCTATTTTACCAGTTACACAAAATCCTGATCCTTGGTCTGTAAAGAACATGGCAACAAATTAAAACAACAGACAGTTGAGTGCATGTTAAGAGGCAGTCTTTATTTTTCTTTTTTGGTAAGCTGACCTATTAGCAACATGCAAGCAGATTTTTAATGTGATAAAATGCATTTTTTCCCAGTAAGACAGTATTCAGTATTTGAAAGGCAGCCAGTTCTACATCATAATAAAAACAAAATATTAATTCCAAAACTCCTAATCTGATTATTTTTCTGAAATATGAGATAAAACTCCTCACTTGAAAACAAATATAGTTGCTAAACAAACCAATTAATAGAGTTTTCAATAAATAGAAGGGTTAACCTACATAATTTTATACAACTTTGTATCATTCTCCCTCCCCCTCTTTACAATTTACAGTAAAAAAAAAAACAACCTTGCATATGCTGAGACATCTCAAAAAATCCTTAAAAACTGCAGTCTTGGATGTGTTTCTTGTTGGTTTATTGTCCAATGAACTGGAAATTCTGAAAGCTCTCTATGTATTTCTTTTACTCCTAGAAAGTCAGCTGACAGCTGGTTTACTAACATTTAGCGTGAAAAGTTATTGCAGATGCTATATTAATTTTGAGTCAAGACCCACCATTTCCTCCTTTTGTATTCTTTACTATTGTTGCTGGATACCCAGTTATGCATTAGCATAATTTACAGATGAGTTACTGGGTTGGTCAACTGACAGAAGTCATACTGCCAACAGCTCAGAAAAGGGGAGAAAGAATGTAGACGCCCCTCCCCTCCACCACACTAAAAAACTACGGGCATGAGTGCCAAAAATTATACAAATATTTAATTTGTGTTTAGAACCAGTTGGCATGCATGCAAAGAAATCTGCATGGGGGTTCAAGTGATATTTAAATGTGCAACTAACCATTCTGAAACAGCAGGTCTATATTCGTAGACAGGAGCTCTAGCTGTGTAATCGGGGACTTACTCCTCATAGCCACTGAACATTCATTTTTGGTAAATGCAGCTGTTTAAAAGTTTATTTAAATTCTGTATTTTTATTCATTTGATAAAAACTCAGCTCACTGCAAAACCTGTTTCTGCTTTATAGTCTACATACATATAACAATACTTTAACCCAGCTATTTCTGGGTGAAAAGGTTATAATCAAATAGCCTGTACCACACTTCATATAACCAGTGATGGTTGCAAAAATGTTTAGCCGATACGTGATAGCAAAGTCTTAGATGCAATTTCAGTATTTACCATGGAAACCTCAACGCCTTGAGAAGAGGTGACAGGAATTTTGGTTTCACCCAATACAATCCGTGTCAAAACCAAACTCCATTTTTCTGACTGTATCAATATTTGAATCTGGGTCCATTGTCATAGGCAGTCAAAACCTGATACCCAGCTTACTACACAATCTAGCTGGTTTCAAGTACAATTACAACATGCATACATGGCAAGTTTCTTTTAAAATACATTTTGAGTGTAATAAAACTGATAATGTTTGAATAAAATTAATGTTCCTCTGCCAGGTAGAATATTAAATGTCCAATCATGCTAGCAACTCAGCAAATGGATTGGGATCAGGAAATTCCCAAGTTCCACTGTATGCACTGTATCCACTGTATGCACTCACTGTATAGCCATTAGCAAGTTACTTAATTTTTGCCTCAGTTCTTCCATCAGTAAAATCTAGATAACACCACTTACTAACCACCACTAAGAACACTGTGAAAAACTTAATACATGTAGGTAGTATTGAATAGATGTCTCTAAGCACTTTAAAGTCAGATTTTAAAACATGTTTGTAAAAATGTTATCTTACACTGACTTCGAATTATTTTAAGATATACATATCTTAAGACATGAATGAATTTGTATGTCTTTGAAATGATTAGTAAAAATAAACTTTATAAATAAGAGAACCAACCTTTAAAGACATCAGAAACACACAATCTGAATGGTTTTTCCACTGATCTCTGTGGTGGCTTGAAATAATCTGAAAAGAAATAATAGGACATAAAAGTTTCTGCATTTAATAATACAAACAACCATCTCAAAAATTCACAGTTAAGTAATCAACTATGCTATTTAAATCAGCAGAACAGCACACTTACCAATTTGCTCTAGCAAACATTTTCCCTTATACCATTTAGTGAGTTCACTTGATTCACATTTTGTAACCAGGTTTTCACCTCCAAGACCACTTGTTGGGATATAAGCTACATCAGACTCCTAAGTAAGAAAGCAAACACAAGTTAAACAGAGTGTTTAATTAAAATGATAACAGTATATAAAAGTAGATGGAAGGAACAACTTCAACATTATCATAACTGTTACTAAGCTACAAAATAGTCAGTCATTATAATTCCCTTGAACAAAAAAGAACATATTTTTCCCAATACATAAGGCTTCTATCAAGTTGGATATTCAAATTATTTAGAAATACAGCAGTGTTGCCCAATTCATCTCTTCTATTTATCAAAAGACAAAAGCAAAGAAAGAGAAATCAGAATTAAATGAGGCATTTTATCAACTTTAACTAATAAATGACCTTAGGATAAAAACTCCCTGTGTCTGAGAGGGATATATAAGTGCAGACTTAGTCTGCCACGTGACCAAAACAGGCAAAAGCAACAGCAGGACAAAGACAAGACCATCTGCAAATTAAGGCAAGAGTCTCTAAAGTATCCTCGCTAACCCACAATCTGAACTGAAAGCTGCCCTGACTTGTAAGACTCTACTGTAACACCCCAAACAAGTCCTCTAGGATACCAAGATTTAAAAATAAATAAATAAATAAAAATTAAAAAAAAGTTAGTGGCATGTAATCTTTCCTTGCAGAACGCATTCCCTCCAGGCCTCAAAGAACATGAGTGGCTAATCTGTGGCATTCCAAGGAACCCACATACCTAAAGGGAATCAACTTTTGACAGAGGTCAAATGCCAGGTACCTGCACCTGAGACTTCTTAAGTACCTACTCATTAAAGAAACATGAGGTCAGGGGCTCTGCTGTAAACCACCAGTGTCAGCAAAGATGGCACCACACCCCAATCACTGGTAAGGGTCTCTAGCAGTACAAACTAACTCCAACCCAGCCCCAAAGAATTAGCCAGACACGAGCAAAGTTTCAATAATCTCATTCTTTAAATTTACTTTACCTTAAAGCCAGCTTGTTTAAGAAACTGGCCAAGTTTACTGGTAATTTCTTGAAATCTCTCCTGTTGCCAATTAACCTAAAATTAAAAAGTGATCATGATAAAAATAGTGCATTTTGGCATATTTTGCTATACAACTTCCATTAGACTCTCACATTGTACTCTGCCTAAAGAATAAGATGTTCACAGTGCTCACCTCATATGTTGGAGAAAGACTGCACAGATCACACTATGAAAGAAGTGAACTGAGGGCCAACAGGACTGGAACAAAATTGTAAGATTCAGTTTGCAAGGCCTACATTTGTTAATCTGCAGTTTAACTTAATGTGTAATCGACACTTTCATGAACAAGTCCCCAGATTTGGGGTTGGATTTTCTGGCATCAGAGCATAACAAAATTCAGATTCAACAACCGTGCCTCTTCAGAAATCAAAATATTCAATATATAATTCTAAAATGTAACATTTTAATACAAAGCACATGTTTGAGCATATGCAGTAGCATGCCTTACAAGTAACCCTTGACAAAAATCAGGTAACTGCAACTATCATTGGGGAAACAAGTGAGGTGAAACATTCATGGCTGAACATTTACTCCAGTAAGTTTTAGACGGGTTACTTATAAAGTATTTCAGGAAGATTTTCAAAATCGAGTGGAGTTCACACTACTTTTGAAAATCTCCCTTGACTGATATGTTGAGTTATAGACTTTAGAAGAACATTCTTGCCTTTCTGAACATAGACATCATAAAAACTAGAAACTGGGTGGGAAAACCTTACAAGGAGGGCCCAATCCTATTGGAAAAGTAATAAGGATCTTCTGAATTAAGGGCTCATGATAAGATAAGGAATGTAAGATGTTGCACCATTTAAAACCTTTAAGCATGTACCTGGTCCATTTTATTGACTGCAACAGCCAGTTGTGTTACTCCAAGAGAACGAACCAATAACCCATGTTCTCGAGTCTGTCCACCAGTCTCAAACCCTGCTTCAAACTCTCCTCTGCTGGCATCCACAACCAAGATTGCCACATCAGCCTAAGTAAAAGGGAAAAAAGGTTCAGAGAGCAAATTCCATAAGCAGAATATATTAAGAGTAAATATGGCCCATTGCTGAACATGCAGAAACAAATGACAACAAAATCTACTACATGCAAAAATGGAGTATATTAACATGCCTTTGTCTTAATGAAGATTGATTTCTATATCATTGTTTCTGGGTCTGCATTAACGTGGCACAGTACAGTTAAATGCAGAGGCTATTAGCCAACAGGTAGCCCCTTCCTGTCACATGACCCAATAGGGCTGTTCCATTGAGAAATTCAACTGGGTACCAATAGGCCCAGGTTCTACAAACCTGGGAATGTATGCAGTGCCCCAACTTCATGCTCAAGCCTGCCCCCAAGACCTGGAAATCAGAATCCCAACATATTCCCCTTGTGCCAAAACGGTTGCAAAGAACTTTGTTCCAGATACTCAGTTGCCCTAATAAAAGATATCACATCTACTCAAAGAACTTCACCTGTCAGAGGTAAGAGATGAAATACAGGGAAGCTCTTCCTGCTTAAGACCTGGAGACAAACCCCACCATCAGGCAATATTCTGCATGGGACCCAACAACCAGAGATCCTGTAAACAGAACTCACGCTGGGTACTGTCTAATCCACACAACACACTGATCCCTGCCAAAGTTGTGATGTAACAACTGTGATTTAAATCCTAAAGATGCAAAGATGAAAGGTGAAAAAACCCATGCAGTCATTTACCTTTTTATCATACAGGAAAAATTTGTTCCAGGTCCCAAGCAAAAGACTACCAACTGTCCTACTCCCCAGCATCATAGGTGATCCAGCATACCAAGTTAAATATGCAAAAGGACAGGAAAAGAACCTAAAATGTTGGTAACCTCAGCAACAAGCAGTAGCCAAGAACCAGTCACCCCATCACAAAACTCCTGTCCAATGACAGCCAGAAATAACCAGACAGGCTCCAATAACCTAATGCTACATGAAACAGACCACCCCCAGGATGAAGAAGTGGGAGTTGGTTAGAAGGAAAAAGAAGGCAGCAGCACCTTGCCCTTTTCCCTTATGCACATGCTGCAGACCACAGAGAGGGAACAAGGGAGGGCATATAAGGCATGGCTCTAGTCATTAGTAGCTAAAAATTCCCCTTGCAGCTCTAAAGGAGAGGGACATGTCTCTACATTTCCTGGCCTCATCATCAAAGATGCAACGCCTGCTAGTGAGATGAATTTCCTTCAAAAGTACACCTACAGTTCTTTTAAAAGATACTATAGGTGGAAGCTGAAAATGCATAAACTACTTCATTAGCACTGCATACTACAGGCCAGATCCTCACCTCTGATAATGCTGCTTTGCATAATGTAAAATGACAGTTGGGGATTCCCCAACCATGGCAAATCCCAGCTGATGTAAAGCCATCATAGCTATCTTTCAGCTACCTCCTTCAATAGAATCCCTTGCAGCACCTGGCTGTGCCAATGAAAGCAAGGGGGTGCATGCAAAGAGCACACTTTATTCCCCTGACTGTCCCATTAGAGAACATTTACAATTCTAAATGTATGGGTTCAATTACAGCTACATTGATCTCTCATAGCTGGAAAAATCGAGGGAAAAGTCTGCTCATCTATAGCTGCAGAGAGCTTAGTGAAGGTAGAATTGAAAATCTGGGTTTCTGTATTCTTTTCATGTTATTTATAGAGACTACGAAATCAAATCAACAAACAGAGCTTTTAAGAAAAACAGAATGGTTAGGTACAGCATTTTCCAACATTTTTAGGCTAATTTTTTAGGTTAATTTTTCAAAACATTTTTCAAAAAAATGTATAGATGGCTGGGAATATGTATTTACACCTGTGTCATGTTAACAGGCAAGCCTAACAAACATTACAGTTTAAGAATCCCTGACTGTCCTATGGCTTAAATACAATCGCAAGATGTGGATTCTTATCCCAGACCTCTAAGTATGATTATGGGCAGCTCAGTCTCCCCAGGCTGTCATGTTTCCACCTGTAAAACTGATAACAGCTCTCACCCATTCTTGTAATGCATTTTAAGGTGCTTAGATAAAAGGACCTCAGTGTTAGTCTGGAATAAGCATCATTGTAATAAACTGAATATGTGAATGACTTTTCAAAGGAGCTTATAGTAATCAAACTGCCCCAAAATTTGCTTCTTTCTTCTAATTTTAGCTTTGGCAATGGCTTGGTAAGACTTTTCTGTAGGCCAGTATAGTTTCAGGCTCTCAGGACAACAAACTCACAAAAAAGCAACATGGTCACTGTAGAATTAAAAGTAGGTCATACAAATAACAGGTTTTAATTTACAATGCTAGCAACTGAAGCAGTAAAAAGACAAAGGACACACAGGGAAGGAGAAAGCCTTGAGAACCAAAATCAAGTAACTTTTCAGCATATGCAACAGGGCTACTATTTTTTTTTATTTTTTATTTTTTTACAAAAACTATTAAGTCCACTTTTTTAAAGGAAAAAATTATCCCACAAACATTTGGATTTTGATGTCCAGATAAACATATTAAGCTCTCTTATTCCACTTGATTAGTAATTGATCTGTGCAAGAGACCCAGGGGTTTTAAGAATAATCGGACAAAGTAAGTTTATAATTTGCAATTCCTGAGGGGAAAGAAAAAAACTGGAACTAATTTATGGATCACAGGCATTCACTGTCATTCTGGGAATGTACCCTCTTAAGACTCTCCAAAAAAACTCTGACAAATAGAAGTTTTTGCAGAAAACAACTGCCTTAGAGATCAAAGTCAGTCTATTTCGGACTGAAGTGGGGACAACATTTCCATTGTTCTAGGCAGGCATTAATGACAAGCCCCCGCTGGTAGCTCCCATTTTCATTTCAAGGGACATCCAGCTGGGACAGGTGTGGCAGTATGTCAGATTATACTCTCTTGGGTTAGCCTGCAACTCATTTTATACTGCTTCAATAAATTATGGTCAATCCTTTTAATTTCATCCCAAAACCAATACGAAGTCAGCTGTGATCCCAGAGTACAAGTGTCGTATGCTTCACAAAAAATGTACTTCCTACAAAGCGAACTGACACATTTCACACCAGTTTTGATCTCAAGATTCCAGCCTTGCATGTATAATATGTATGCAGAGTACAAACTTAAATTGAAAAATAGATTGTCTGAATGCTTTTCGCTAAGTTTATGAAAAACTTTTTACAACTTCTTATCCCAAAATTTTTTTTCGGAAGCACTGACTGTTGAACAGCACATACTTATCAGAAGTGATTTTTTAAAAACTATACAGTTTTACTGACACAAGTGCAATAAACTGTTCATATTACTTCATAGATAAGTGTGAAACCCTCTTTTCCCCACAAATCTGAATAACCAAACAGCAATCAAGAGAGTTTTCCTTTAAAATTGCAAAAAAATTATTTTCTCTATTTAGAAAAAGCTGAACAAATTTCAGTGTTCCTCAAAAAGTCTAAAAATTGTGTGAATTTTTCTTTCTAGAAGTTTTCCATAGGCTAACATGTAAAGATTAAGGTTATATGTGTAATTTTTAGAATGGAACAGAAAACAGTTTACTAGACAACTAGTACAGAGTAAGTACTATAAAACATGGCATTTTGGGGGGGAGTGTTTAAAGGTTACGTACGAATAAACACAGAGGTGGTTGGCCATGATATATTAAAGTCAGGTTGAAGGTAGGATGTGTAAGGTGGCACTTTAGAAACTAACTGGTTCAGAGGGGCATGAGCTTTTGTGGACAACCACCTACTTACTTCATCAGATGCCTGCAAGCTACTTCATCAGATTCTTGCTTATTTTAAAACTAGAATACTACATTATAAAACTATATTTTTTTACTTTTCATATTTGATGAGTGCAAACAGTAGAATTAAGTGCAAACAGTAGGTTAAGTGACATTTGTTACCTGTGCAGCTCCTGTGATCATATTTGGGATGAAATCTTTATGGCCCGGAGCATCCATCAACGTAATCACTTTTGTCTTTGTCTCAAATTTCGTCATACCCACATCCATTGTTACTCCCCTTAAATAAAACACACATGATAGACCATTACAACTGTTTGAAAAGTTAACAACACGTACAAAATATAGTATTAAAACAACAATATTAGCTAAATCCTACATTGTGGCTCTGACAGATTCAGCCTGTACTAACCTGTAATTCTCCTGGCTCTGACAGAAGAAAAAATTTGGCCACTTCTATTCTGGCAGTATTTTTCAATCCTATAGAAACTATTTTTCTATATCCATATATGATTTTCAACTTTAAAAAGTTAAGGTTACTGACAGATGTGTTATTTTCATTCCCTCTCCTGTCCTTTATTTTCTTAAATGAAGAGAGAAAACAAAATCTAGTTCTACTATGTAAAGCAAGTGGAGATATGCATATATACGTAGAATAATGGTATGCAGTAAGATTATGTCCTTCTGCTATAATTCAAGGACAAGTAGCAAAGTTTAGTATTTACACTATTTAAGTGCTCTGCAACTGCCACTTAAGTCATCCCCCAATTCTACAAATTGAAGCATCAGCAAAACCAAAGCCAATGAAAATGTAACTACAGCAAGAAGATCGTCTACCTGTATATGTCCCCATTCTCAGGTGCCTATTCTGATTCAGAATCAACAGCACAGTCCCTGGAGTTTATTCCAAATGTGACTAAATAGCCTTCCAAGGATATTACGTGCCCTACCCACTGTTTCCTTGCAGCACCAAATGGCAGAAGAAACATCACAAAACTCAAACAACAGCTCCTAAATACTCTAATGTAAAATATACCATTGAAAGTCTAGAAGGACTAACATATTCAAAAAGTGTTTCGTTTAACACATTAAAACATATTAGTCTTACTTTCAGAAGTAAACAAACTGTTTCCATAACATAAGTCCTTTACTTGAACACTCCTTTAGTGTTCAGTAACAATTTGAAATGTTTTATAAAGCAGACTGGGTCAATTTTCTCTTCAAGATTTGAAATTCTAGGATTATACAAATATTTGATAAAACCATTTTCAGGTTTTCACCTGTGATGCAGTCCTTTTTAGTTTATTTGCCTTTACACTCACAGGTCTGTTGTGTATAAGTGGGCTATGTCAAAGTCTAACTTTAGGTCTGAATGCTGTAGGAGTGTGTTTAAACACATTTGTGTTAAAAGAAACCCTATGTTCTCTGCAACCCACTGCACCCCACCCCCACATTCTTCTGCATCAGTTTACTTTTTCAAGGTTATCTGTGCATCCAGAGGAGCTTGAATACCATGATACCATGGGCTATGAGTATACCATAAAATACAATTACATTAGATAAATAAACTTCTCCCTGTGGTTTCAAATGAAACCCAAGATACTAAAGAATATCAGAAAAACTGTGGTAGGCTATTAAACTCCATCTTTTTACAAATACAGAGTGCCACTGTCCACAGATCCAGTCTTTACTATTTTTGCTTTCTAGATATCTTCATCACTTCTTCATGCACTTCTCAACATAAAACAATTTAAAATACAGTTAACAAAATTAATATATATTATAGCAAGCTAACATGCTACTGCCAGATGCTAGTGTGCTATACAATTAATTTACTGAGAGTAAATTAGATATTTGGTCCGAGTCATACGTGATGAACCAAAAAAATATCATCTTCCTTAAATTCCTTCACCTGCCCCGATTACTTGGTTCATAAAAACTGCCAGCTCCTCAAAGGGAGGATTTTACCAAAGGGCACATCTGCTCTATAGTCTGCAACATAGTACAAACAGCTGAGTTAACAAGACTAAATTCTGCAGCACAGAGCCCCATGCTGCCACAGCTAAGTACTTGGGGTGCCTGAGCTAACCCATTTAAAAGTTAGCATAGCCACACTGCAGTCTACAGCATAATCCAAAAGGATTTCCAACTTCTCTGCCTGATTTCACACAACTAAACCAGAATCCCTCCTTTCCTTTCAGTGGTGTGTATCTATCTTCCTAGGAAATATTACATTTTCTGTAATGTTTTATTCTTAACACTTTTAATGTAGTCATAACATAACAATTAGTTGAATTATATTTCCTAACAGAGTTGTTTTAGCAGAGAAAATGTTAATTCACACTATAAGGTAAACTGCTTACCTTTCTCTTTCTTCTCCAGTTTCATCCAAGACCCATGCATAGGCAAATGAAGCTTTTCCAGCCTTTTTAGATTCCTGTTCATATTTGTGCATAGTTCTTTTGTTCACATTTCCCAGAAGGTAGAGTAAATGACCCATTAAAGTACTTTTGCCTGCATCAACATGACCTAAAGAGGAAAAGAAACATTGGAGAAATGTCACTTTTTCATATATTAGCTATATAACATAGTTAGAAAATAAGTACACCGGTGCATGTGAAATGTAGTCTGCTAAAAGGGTTTTTTTTTTTTTCATATTCCTGCAATTCACAGAACTACTATATATAGTATCAAGGCAGAGAAACATAATTTCAGTAAGACTAACATGACGAACACTTCTGTACCATCAAAGTTACTCTAGAAAGATGTATGTCTTTTAGTATGTATGTATGCATGTTAGTCTAATTAACACCGAAAGTGGGTCCTTCTATATAGCAATGGCCAAGCAGATGGGCTTGAGAGCAAGGAACACATTTGCTTCTCTATCGCTTCCAGATTTAACCAGCACAGATTCCTGAATCTCCAACCTGGACTAAAGATTTTTTTTTTTTTTTTTTTTTAAAGGGCATTACCTATTACCACCAAATTCAGCAGTTGCTTTCCTCCTTGCCTCTTTTCCAGTTCTGCTTTCACATCTATTTGTTGTTTCATCTTGCTAGACTTTTTCACTGGAGTAGGTGCTGCACTCTGTTCTTCTGACACCTGCGTTGTTTGGGATGGAAGAGCTGATTTTGAGACTGTCTCAACTAACCCAGAAGTAACACTGGTATCTTCAGATGATGGTCTTTTTTGAGATGCGCTAGCACCATGGCCATTCTCTTCAGCAACCACACTACAGAAAACAAACAGAAAACAGGATTATAGGAGTGCCATAGAAGCCTTATAGCAGCAGAGAAAGAAGGGAGTGTCTCTTTAGTTAACCTCCAAGCCTTCAAATTAAAAATCTCCAATAAATAGTAAAAGACTGTTAACATGGAAGTGATAAGCAACTGGACACAAACCACATAGTTAGAGACTCTGAATATCCTGCCTGAAAACAACCTGTAGAAAAGCAAGATAAGAAAGTATCACATAAAATATGTAAAATTCAGATAGACAAGAACCTCCTTCTCACAGCCAGTTCCTTGATGGAAAGGCAAGGGACAGTTTAAAGAGTAATTCCTGAGGGTTTATATTCACTGAAGAGTTAACATAGGCTTTTAACCTGAGTGCTGTGTGTGAATGGGAGCCGACTTGAGGACAACTAACTCTCACTCGAGTATAACGGTGCTTCCCAACTGGCCCATCCTGGGGTACAGACTGGAACTCAAGTGCTGCTAACACAGGTGCTGGTAACCCATCCACTTTGTAGTGTGAATACAGATTAGCCATTTAAGTGCTGAAGGGTGTTGGTTGTAGCCATGTTGGTCTAAGGACATAGGCAGACAAGGTTATTTGGGTAAATCTGATATCTTCTATTAGATTAACTAAAATAGTTGAGAAAATTCTTCTTTGCAATCTTTCAGCTACAAACACCCTTCTTCAGGCAGAAGTAGCATCCTCTAAAGCCTTTGTCTAAATTCCCCCCTGCATGTTCAAGTTAGACAAGGTTTCCCTTCTACAACTGACTCAGAAAAAAGAAAAGAAAATCAGAGTAGTTCAATTTACGGCACTGCAAAGAGATTGAGTCATACTCTGAAGTCTCAGCATATCACTTGTGTGAGACGACTGGTAGCAGTTAAATAGGCATGATCAAATATAGCTTTGCAGTATGGCTATTCACACACCAGCTAGGCTAAGTGGAATGCTCACCCCCCAGAGACCAATCGTGTAAGTTAATACTGCAGTCAAGAAAGTCACTGCAGTGTCTAGCAATTAACAAAATACAAGTGGGGTGGTTTGTCTCATTCCTATTCTTTATGGTTCAATAGGATTACTTGCATGACTCAGAATTTAAGGACCAGATCACAAAAAAAGAACTAGATAAATTAATTTCCAATGTTACCTAAGCAATGGCTTCCTTACCAGCATTTTTCTTGGCTTCTTATAGTTATAATTCTTTAATCCTACACGAGCAATTTTAAGAGGTCCTAGTTAAGCAGAAGGCCAGCAGTTCTGAAATGTTTTTAGAACATGTTGTTGTCAGGCTTCCTCTACTCGTGCAGTTAAAGGCACAACTGGATCTAATGTGTGATCCACACAATCATGCCTCCTGCCACATGTGCATGGCAGGAGGCACAACTGGGATTGCATGTTAGATCTTATTGTATCTTATTGCTGGAGCAGGGGGAGTCTGATCCTGGGCTCCCCCTGCATCGGCAATAAGTAGGCACCCATGGCTGGTAGCCCCACTTTGCTGAGGGGCTCCCAGCCACAGGGACCATGCACAGTTGGGACCCAGAACCCATTTTGAAACACAGGGATGCTGAATACATGAGATGCTGCAGCATGCTGGAGCATGATTAGAACGCTCCAGCAAACTCGATTAATCAGAATGTGTTGGAGCACATGTAAAAGTGCCCCTATTGATTAGGATAACACCAGATAGTTTCAAACCTTTTCTAAATTCCAACATCGATTTCTAAGTGTTTTTCAACTTCCAGCATATGGAATAATAATAATAATTTTAAAAATTTCAAGTACCAAACAACAGCTTTTGAAAGAAACAGGGAGGGGGAAAAAACCAAATCAGACTTTGCTGAGGATGATCCGTCACTGAATTTTATTCACTGGATTGTATTCTCCAAAATGCCAGTATGCTTTTAATAAAATATTTTAATAAAATAAAGCTAGATTATTTTATTGTGGTATTCCTCAAAATGTAGAACAATGTTAATAAAATGTAGAAGACTAGAAGCAGTTCCTCAAATTTGCTCGGGCATGGATTCTGTGAATAATCGGCAGGAAGTGGGGAGATGTGTGTCTACCTTTTAAAAATATGGTTCCCTCTCCAACTCAACCCAACACTGTTGTAATGTTTATGAACACGTGTGATAAGGACAGCAGATTTAAAAGAGCAAGAAAACAAAAGAAAGTTTTACAGGTAATGAAACAGCTCAAGAGTTCAGGATTATCTGGACTTTTATCTTGCTGTCTTGCTTTGCCTAAAATTGACTGCACAGTCCTGAGTATATTGCATATTTTCTCAGCCCTCCATCTGAAAAATTGGGATATTGCCCATAATTCATATCATTATTGCGCTGTCAAATTCATGGAATTAATGGGAACTGCTCAGTTACTATGGTGATGATCACTACAGATAGAACTAAACACAAAAAAAAAGTTCTCATTAGTAAAAGTTTCCATGTTGGCTAACGCTCTGACCCTCAAAATCTACTGATCCAGTTTAAATGCATGTAAACGTGGCTGGGCAACACTGCAAGGCAGAACTGCACGCAGCTAGGTAGGAACAAAAACACAACATGACAGTACTATACTATGATAACCCAAATAATATGAACTGCACTGGACAATTACTGCCTTAAAAATATGGGGAAACAAAGAATGACATCTCTAGTTATGGTATCTGCACACACTCTGCTTTGCTTCCAATCCCAGAGCTTTTTGCAACTTGTTTTTTGTTTGGGTTATTTTTGCATGCTAGTTCAGCCATGTATGCTTTATTTTAGTAAAAAATAACTTACATTAGTGCCTAGTCTACCATTTGGGACATTTTTTTTTTCTTCTTGGTGGGAAACACTGTTGAAACAATTAGCATGTCAGGTTTAAACTATGATAGTTTTGATTCAAAACCATCTTTCCTACTGTCAGTTTAGAAATGAATTTACTTCATAAAAGGAGAGAGACACCAAAAAGGACATAACTAATAAGAAAGGTTTCTGAGAATCTGAAATAGATTTAAAATGTTTCAAGTCAGAAAGTAGGCCAAATCAGTTTTCATTAGTCTTACATTATTTAAGATGTTTAAATGCTCATACATATTTTACTTTGGGTCAAGCTTTTTCCATCAAAATTAAAATTCTCTCTTGTTTTCTTAATTGTTTTTTCAGATACATTATACTATATATTCACTAATTTTAGCAATGAGTACTTTCAGATTAAAACATATGGCTTGTAATTTTAGCAATGAGTACTTTCAGATTAAAAAACATGGCTTTCACATATTTGAAAGCCCGTATATAATTTTTCATTCTCAAAGTCTGGCTCTTGAAACTTCATGACGATTAAAAACCTGGAGAGAAGTACCAGTATAAGAACAAAGGTCAAACTTGTCTTCGTGGATGACAAGCCACTTTCTTCTTGCCCCTTTCATTGTCAGTTTATCAAAAACAAAAGTAAAGAACTTATGTGAAACTGCAATTAAGGTGAGCCAGAAAAAAATAAATCAGAAGTGTGTCTGCTGCTTCTCAAAATGTATTCCATAAAGACTGTCATACCAAGACTGCCCAAACACCTTGCAAAGCCAAAGTATCTGGAGAAACGGACTTGAAAAAGATAGGCAGCTTCTCATTTGTTTACTTGGTTAGTTATATTTAAATGTTTCTAGAGTCTATTCCTCAGTATCACTTCTCTATTGCTGTACGTTAGTTGTAGAATATTTTCCAGAAATTACTAAGTCTTAACTACTTACCTGAGAACTAACAGCAATTTTACATTGCGGTTGTTTCTATGCCTATACAAGTTTTAAATATGCTTCCTACCCAACCCTGTCCAATAAACAAGCAGACATGACTGCAAATACCACCTCAAAACCTGAGAACTCCATCTCCCAACAATCATCACTTCCCTGCTCAAACATCCACAAAAGCAATGCCAACTAACCCTCCCAAACACCACTCGCATCCAGTGGTGCTGTTGCAGGCACCACACTGTATAATCCATTTCATACATATATTAAGCTTATCTTAAAAGAAGTTAGGTTCTTTGGAAGGCTGTTAAAATACCTGATTACTCTTGTGTTTATGAACTTTTTTTTTTTTTCAAATTTCCAATCTAAATTTGTTCATGTCTAGTTTATACCCATTTGTCTAAATGCCAGCATTGTCCTTAAGCTCAAATAGTTTTAAGCCTTCCCTGGTCTCCCCCTCCCTAAAGCATTTAATTAAATAATAGGAAAACAGAGCTAGAAGGAACCTCAGGAGGTCATCCATGTAACTTCCTGCTCAAGGAAGCCTGCTCAAGCCCATCCCAGGCAAGTATTTCTCTTCTCCTAAAAGCTTCCAGTAACTGAGATTTCACAGCCCCTCAAGGTAATCTGTTCCAATACTTCACCACCCTCAAAGATAGAAAATTCTTACTAATTTTCCTTGTTGTAATTTAAACTCATTACTGTCCTGTCCTATGTGGAAAAAACAGCTTATCACCATCATCTTTATAAGAACCCTTGTTGTATTGGAAGACTAATCAGTCCCGTCCCCCCAAGTCTTTTACTCTCCAAACTAACTAAATCCAGCTCTAACAAGTGTCCCCATATGCTGCTTTCTACACACCTCTAATACATGTTTGTTACTCTCCTCTCAACTCTGTCCATTTGCTCCACATCTTTCATGAAGTGGAGTGCCCAAAACTGGAAACAGTATTCCAAATGACGTACCACTACTGTTGAATAGTATAAAAAGATCACAGCATTCCTGCTAATTAACAGCATATTAGTACAAATTTTTGGCAATAATATTACACTGTTGAATTGTATTCATTTTGCAAGCCACTGTAACACTCAGGTCCTTTTCTCTAATACTGAGGCCTAGGTGGTCATTCCCCATTTTGTACTTTGCATTTGATTGCTCTTCCCTAAATGCAGTACATTGCAAATTTATTTCAGATCATTTATCCAATCTCTGCAGGTCATTATGAATCCTGATCCCATCCTCCAAAATATGTGCCACTCCACCCAATTGGTGTAATCTGCAAATGTATTACACATACACTCAATTCTTTGAAGTCATTAAGATATTGAAAAGTACCTAACCTAGGACATACATCTAAAGGACTTGGACTGACACCTTCTCCTGCTTTTATATTAAGCCACTGATAACTGTGACACACATGCCACCAGTTGGTCATTCATGCCCTAAGAACTTTAAAACAATACTTTGAAGCTCTATCTTATGGCCCCACAGGCCAGATGAGTAGTGTGAAGCCAGTCCACAGGTCAGACAGAGCCCCACATGCCAGGATCAGGCCCTGGGGCATGGAACCACCCCATCATGGCCTCTGTATGCCAGGATTGGAGCCAGCAATGCCCCTGGGCACTGGTATCAGATGCCTTTATCCCAGCACAGGGCCTGAGGCCCCTCACAGGTCCAAAAATTTGGCAGCAGAGCAGTGGTGCCATTGCTCCTGTACTGCCAAATATCTAGATGTATGGAGAGCCCTGCAGAAACCCCTGCTTCAATATCTTTCCAGTTATCAAAATTCAAGCAACTGATCTGTAATTCTCTCTCTTTCCTCCTTTTAAAAATGGCCAGTAGGTTTCTCTAGTCTTCTTGGATCTCAACTAACCTCTGAAATTACCTCAGCCACTTTCTTGAGTACTCTAGGGTGAACTTCATACAACCCTGCTGATTCAAAAACATCCAGCTTGTCTAAGTCATCTGATCCATTCTTCCCCTACCTTAGGCTGATTATCTGCTCCCCTGATCTTGCTGCCGACTGTACTTGTGATCTGACAGATGACCTTTGATTCCTGGGAGGGGGAAGGGGGAGAGTGAAGTAAAAAAAAGCCTTTGTTTTGCTCTGCTAAAGAGCAAGCCAAGCACTCCTCACATCCTCCCATAAAATAATTTTCTTGTTTTGGCCTTCTCTGGTCTCCCCCACGGGCTGGATGAGTGACAGGGGGCCGGTCTGGGCCCACAGACCTCCTCCCCCAGCACAGTGGTGCCCGCTCTGGGATGTGTGCTGTACTCTGTGCCCACTTAAGTCAATCTGGAATTCATGCTGCATGCAGCACTTGGAGATACTACATGCAGCACAGGTCCTGCACAGGCTGAAGCAAGCACTGCTTGTGGCGCTGTCCCGAAGTGCTGGGGCAGGCACCATGTGCTGTGCAGTCTGGCTGGGGTGGGCACCATGTTCAGTGTAGTTGCCCCCCTGGCCAGACTGCGCTGCATGTGCAGATCCCAGACCAGCTGCAGCAGCCAACTGATCCAGTTATGCTGGTGGACAGAGAGGGGGAAGATGTCTGTGGGCCAAATCCTGCCCCGTGCCACAGGGACACACCATGCCCTATAGAAGTCTGATCAGACCCAGGGGCAGCACCCCAGGCTGGACGGCAGGGCTCTGCCGGCCAGATACAGCCTGTAGACCAGATGTTTGATACACCCTGCTCTATAAGGACTAACGCAGCTTGACTTGGGCAATTTTTATTATATCCTTGCACTTCTAAATCTCTGAAAGACAACATTCTTTCCTGATCAATCCTTTCTTCCATTTTTTTGTAGACACCACACTTACTCAAATCTAAATCAATTCTGAATTTAAGACAATCCCCAATAATCAGATTCTATATATGGAAAACTTGTAAGTTGTTATAATTTTTCCAAGGCTCTGTTCCCTACTGGAATACAGTATGTGGAAGCTCAGCCCTTTCCAGGCCATGCAGCAGTGTCAGTGCTGTTAACTGGCCAGGCAGGCAATGCAATGGCCAGTTAATGCAATGGCATTAACTGCAATGCAATGGCAGTACTGATTGGCCATGCAGGAGACAGTTTCCATGTGCTAATGCCCGGGAGACAATCCAGGCAGAGCTGGAGCCAAGCTGTACCTGACAGTAAAGGGGATAGGGGAGGGGAAAAGCTACAGAGGGCAAGTCAAGGGGGCCAGGAGGCTATTGTGGGTCTGACTCTGGCCCTGACCTAGGCTCAGGGCTAGTTAGAGCCACAGCAACTGCCTGCCCTGCCCCCTCCTGGGGGGAAAAACCTGTCTTAGATTTGAGTTAATACAGTACTCTGTTCTTAATATCCTTCCTGGGGTGCTCATGCATAAAGGTGAGCATTAGCATCTTTGTTTGAAGAAATAACAGGCCGCCTCCACTCTGCATGCAGAGACACAGTGTAGCCATTGTTCAGCTTATATTAAAGGCACACCAAGTTCCAAATATTTTTGATATTAAGCAATAAAATATACTTCTAAAATGTGTGTCTTTTAAATTGAGGGCACATAAAAAAAATGTCGGACCCTGAAAAACTAAAATAGAGGGCTTTATCACTTAGATATCTGCTTCTCCCTCACTACCCCCCCCTCTCTTTTTTTAAACTTTTACTCGGAGCAATGGGTGTTACCACTTCCCATACAGAACCACAAACTATAGCAGGTGCCATAGTAAACAACAGAGATGGAGGATATCCTGTGACTACTGAAGTCAATGGGAGTTTTACCACCAAGTTCAGTGGAGACAGGATTTTGCCTGGAGTCACTGCTTGTTATGAACACAACTGTCTCTGATCAACTGCATTTCATAGTCACCCCAACAACACTGGCAAAATTTTGAAAGGCTCACAAGTTAAAATTTACCTCAGACAAATAGCTACAAGAAGTCATTACTATCCAGTGACTATTCAGTAATCTGTATGAAGTGACAGTTTTATGAGATCTGGGGCCCCATGAGCTGCTGCCACATTACAAAACCACTACCAAAAAAGATATGCATTGTCCTTAGATACCCCAGGAGATTGAAAATCCCATAACAGGATTGCCAGCTTTATTTACAGTCTCAGCAGCAGCATATAAAAGACAGAATGAACCTGAAGAATAGTCCTCTTCCTCCTAAAAATGTTCTCCCCAGATCAAGGTTGTATGCAATGATGAGCTGTGTGCAGTGATGAGCTGTAGGGAGAAGCTTGTAATTGTTGCTGCTTCTGAGGTCCTTGAAGACACTTGAAATGCTGCTATAATTTTTCCTGTCAAATTTAAGATTACACCTAGACAGATGTAGGTTTCTGAAACGGGGGCACAGATATGTTACAATGTGTCACGCTAATACAATGCATACCCCCTGAGGCCTATGCATACCCCCGGTTGCAAACCCCTGGTCTAGAGGCATAGAGCTATTTCAGTGACATTCAACCTATCTGGATTGACTACTCCCCAATGCCTCCCCTCCCAAAAGCAAGCCCAAAGCTGGACTCCACCTGGCAACATACAAAAATAGTTGGGGTTAGGGGAGAACTCACTTTAGCTTCTTGCAGCACCTCTACCTGGGGAGACCAACCTCTCTGAATCTGCCCATGTCCAGCTTTATGCCGCCCTGGTTGCACCACTGATTCAACCTCCCACATCCTTCACCATCTGCTGCAACAACTGCCTCACCACTGCAACTCCCTTCTGCCTATGACCAGTATGCAACCGTACAGCCCAGCCCTGCCCCTCCCCCCCTTTCTCTAATTTGTTGTAGGTTTCAATGCCCTAGGAACAAAGCCGTCTAGTTCCTAAGTAAGGAACACCTTTAATCGAGAAGGTTACAGGGTGAGAAGAAACATTATTCAGACCAGATAACGGAAAGAATAATTGTAGAAGAAAGAACAGACAGTTAGTAGATCAAGGGTTTTTAACACCTAAGGAGTAAAGAGATTAGCAGGAACTAAGCAAATAATAATGAGCCATTTAGTCAACTAACAATTGGATATGCCTAAATAGAAAATCTGGGTGTCCTTGCCAGTCAGTTCGTTTTAAATTTTGAGTGGAACGAGTGAAAAGGGGAGAGTGTGAGTATACCACCTACCCCCAGACCTTCCCCTGGGACTACTGTTGCTGAAAACTAACAGCCCATGTAATTTTCTCATAGCTGATTTCAATCTTTCTTTATTCCTGATATAGCTCTAATATCAAATCTTCCATTTCTTTTTTAATGCAAAAAAGGAGGAACGGGAGATCTTATGTTACAATGTATGACACTTAGCACAACAGCTATTCGTATTCAGGGTCAATGCTGTGAATTCTCAAATTATTTTCATAACTCTTTCTTCTAACCCATTCAGTCTTTATCTTGTTAAAGGAAAGACTGCTGCCACTCAACAACTTCTAATTTAACTTGAGCTTTCCAGTTTTGTCCATTCATGGTAAGCACAAAAAAGGGCAAATATTGTTCTTAGCTAGTTCCATAAAATACGTCAATGGAAGCTTCATTAGCGCTGAACAGAATTTAGCCCAGAATTATTTTTTTACCTGCATATATTATTTAATCTAATACTTCTTCCAATAAACAACCTACTATAGTTTCAAGTGACTTGCCTCATAATTCCCTTTAGAATATTAAATTTAAACCAAACTAAACTCCAGAGATTTTTAGCATTCTACGAAGCGGATGCTTAAACAAATTTTTCTAGCTGATCTATCTGCACTATTCATAGTGAAAGGATTTGTTAAACTCACAATGTAAGGTGCCATCTTCTGAAAGTAATTATGAGTCAAAAAAGAAGCCAAAATGGTTAGCTTGGTAGAATGTACATTTAAAACCTCTGTAAAAATAGAAAAAAAAAAAGAACACTTGCTACAGGTGCACCAGGCTGAAAGAAGAGCTGTTAAAGTACCTTGATGTACGAAGACTTGGCTTACCATGGAACTTCAAATCCCATAGACTGTTTCTTTCCGGACACAGTCATTTTGGCAACTTTTGGAACAACTTCAGATTCAATTCTGGTGGACTGGGAATCCCTTGATTTTCCTAGCAATGGGAGGGGAAAAAAAGGGTAAATTTGGAAATTAGTAGGAACTAGCATCTGTAAATAAAAGATTTAGTAAATTATATTCTTAATACGATCCACCTTGTCAGCTCAGTGACTGATAACCATCTATAATAAATGCAATTTCCTCCAGCATCTAATACATATGAATATTAACAAATGGATTACTAGCAAAAACTTGCATTTCTCCCCCAATCTGGAAGAATATTACCATTAAAAAGCCATGCTATTTGTTTTGTTTTTTCTAACAGGTACAGGTTCTATGTTGCCAGAGATGATGGAAAATAAATAAAAAGGAGACTCTGTAGCTGATTCACAGGCTGGTTGAGTTAATTTATTCTTGTTTAATTTCAGGGTTGTTTTTTTAAAGGTAACTCGGCAGTTCATGCTGCTGCAAGATATATTGGGTACTGCTACCAGGAGCACAGAGATGAGCATAGGCTGCAAAGCCTACCCAAGAAGCAATTACGCCTACACTGTATTCTGTACAGGAGTAGCTATACTGCTAGCTGTCATTCAGCTAGCTAGTTTAAATCTAATTCATGTCTGTCTGCATGAACAGCAGTCACAATAGGACTGCAGTGGAATAATACCTTCATAGGCAGGACAGCTATATTATACAGATGTGTATTTGTACTTTTACTATTATTTAAACCTAAATAAATATACCAGAAGGTTTTATTTTGAACTGCAAGAAATGGCATTCTTTGGATTTTAAAAAACCTAACAAAATTATACTCTAATTTTGGAAAGCTGTACAAAAAGTGACTTATCTCTGAAAAGCAAATCTAAAAATTAAAGCAACCTCTCTCATGAACATCCTATCCAGTCTTAAGAGAAAAAAAAGAAATGGTCATCAAGTCCAGTGATCAGCCACAATGATAACTGATGTCACTTCCTATTAAAATTATTTATTCACCTTGGAATAGAAGGGATGGTATATATCAAAGCAAACAGTAGTTGCTGGGTTTTCTTGTTTTCTGGGGGGGGAGGGGGGGAGGGATTTAATCTTTTCATATAGGAAAGACACCACATGTAGGAACTAAACTAGAAAATATTTTAAACAAACATTCTAAAAAAAAAAAATAATAATTCTAATTTTCAATACCATTTAAATACTTTTTCACTATTGAACAAATACTTCAATTATTCTCCCTTATTACTGCATGATGAGTTGAGTCATTTGATTCTACCCCTCCACAGTAAAATTCTTATAAACTAAATCTTAAAAACCACATTATCAAATTGCTGTTGTACGTATATTGTGGTCAAGGCATTTAAAGATGTTTCAGGTGAGGAAACAGAATACCGCAGATAACTTGATAATAGAGATCAAGCTCAGAGATCAAATGCATTATGTTTTAACAATCCCAAAGTGAATCCAGAATGATTAAATAATGAATCTCTCCATGTCCCTGAACTTAATTTTCTCCATCTGTAAAACAGAGAAAATGATATTCATCCCTATCTGTAGAGTGCAACAGATGAAATAGTCTGTATAAAAAACTAAATATTTCTTATATTAAAATCAGGGAACTACAGACCAAACAGTCTCGCACCTCAGTCCCTGGAAAAATCATGGAGCAGATTCTCAAGGAATCCATTTCTAAGCACTTGGAAAAGAAAAAGTTGATTAGAAACAATCAGCATGGATTCACAAAGGGCAAGTTATGCCTGACCAACCTGATTCTCTTCTATGAGGAGATGACTAGCTCTGTGGATGTAGGGAGAATGGTGGATGTGGCGTACCTTGATTTTAGCAAGGATTTTGATACAGTTTCCCACAACATTCTCGCAGGTAAGCTAAGGAAGGATGGGCTGGGTGAATGGATTGTAAGGTGGATAGAAATCTGGCTGGAGCATCAGGCTCAGAGAGTAGTCATCAATGGCTCAATGTCTAGTTGGTAGCCGGGATCAAGTGGAGTGTGCCCCAGGGTTCGGTTCTGGGGCTGGTTTTGTTCAATGTCTTCATCAACTACCTGGAAGACGGCAGAGAGTGCACCCTCAGCAAGTTTGCAGATGAAACCAAGCTGGGGGGAGCAGTAGATACACTGGAGGATAGGGCTAGGATTCAGAGTGACTTAGACAAATTGGAGGACTGGGCCAAAAGAAATCTCAGGTTCAACAAGGACAAGTTCAAAGTCCTGCACTTAGGATGAAACAATCCCATGCACTGACTGGTACAGACTGGGGACTGACTGGCTGGGCAGCAGCTCTTCAGAAAAGGACCTGGGGGTTACAGTGGAAATTAAGCTGAATATGAGCCAGCAGTGTGCCCTTGTTGCCAAGAAGGCTAATGGGCTGCATTGGTAGGCGAGTGGCCAGTAGGTCAAGGGAAGTGATTATTCCCCTCTATTAAGCACTGGTGAGGCCACATCTGGAGTACTGTGTTCAGTTTTGGGCACCCCACTTCAGAAAGGATGTGGATAAATTGGAGAGAGTCCCCCAGAAGGCACCAAAAATGGTGAAGGGCTGAGACACATGACTCATGAGGACACGCTGAGGAAACTGCGCTTATTTAATCTAGAGCAGGGGTTGTCAACCAGGGATCAAAGTACCCCCGGGGGTACGCGTAAGGCCCCAGGGGGTATGCGGAAGTGACGCGAAGAAGCTATCAGCACTTCTGATTTTGCAGATTTGATAGCAGCCTTCAACTACAGGAAGTGGGGTTCCAAAGAGGATAGAGCTAAACTTTTTTGAGTGGTAGCAATGACAGAACAAGGAAAAACAGTCTCAAGCTGCAGCAAGGCAAGTTTAGATTAGCTATTAGGAAGAATTTTCTCACTAGGGTGGTAAAACACTGGGACAGGTTACCCACAAAAGCTCCAACCTCCCACCTCCTCCACCGTGTACCCCAGTGCTAGGTCTGGGCCACAGGTACAACTGCCTACCCACCCCCACCTTGTACTTAAATCCAAGGCAAGTGGCATTCCCTCGATATTGAATGGAAAGAAAACCTCATCTTGGATTTGAGTAAATACAGTAGTACAATAGTACACCATTAGCTTCTAGATCTAGCTTTGAGCTGATCTCTAGCTAAATAAAAGCATCCTGAAATTGAAAAATGCAAAATCAAGATGATTATGGAGTGATTCTAGTCCTACACACCTACAAGAGAATACTAGAAACTGTACTAGGAGAACACTAATAAAGATTGAACAGCCCTTGACGGGAGGTCAGATTACAACCCACATTTTAGCTGCATGAACCTTACTCTCCCTCACGCAATCAGTATAATATAAGTTTATAATCCATCTTGCAATGTATTAAGGATAGAAGCACATGCTACATAACTGAAAATCAAGAGTCCTGAATTTGAAAAAAAAAAAAAATCTACAGAAAACATTTCAAATCATTTAATGAAATCTGCTACTTAAGATTTCAATGGTCTCTACATAAAGCACTGCTTTTTGACTGGCCCAAGACTAAAGACTACCTTAGTCTCTGTGTAAATTGAATTCTCTGAATGTGTGTGACATCTGTTTCTGAGAAAGCCAGCCAAATTATCTTCAAATACAATAAACTTCTCACACTTCTTTGATAAATATCTTTCAGAGACAGACAGATAATTCATTAAAATTACATCACTGACAAATTTAGTGTTATGTACTTCCACTTCAGCAGTATAGGGTAAGCACTCAAATTACATGAAATAAAAGCATAAAAACCAGAAATCAAATTAGGCAGTTAAAGTTAATATGGGTTCTTAGGAAAAATATGTATGTGGGAAATAAGGACCAAAAAAAGGTCAACTGAAGCATAAATGTTCACAATTTCACAATGCAGCATAGTAAACTGAATTTAAATTTAGAGAACAAAAGAAAAAGTGTTGGATAAAGAAAAAACAAAATACAAATGATAGAAGGAATGATGTAAGAAAAGATGGCTATCGATTAGTTCCCAAAACTACAAAAATACTCCAATCATGTCAGTCTTTAACCTAAAAAACAAAAACCAGATATAATATAGTCTAGCTACAACAAGAAACTGGATAGAAGCCCATAAACAGATAAATATAACTGCTTCGCACAAACAGATGCAACTGAAAAGCACTAATTAGTTTATTAATTCTATTAATCAGGGATCAGCAGCAAGAACTATAAACATCAGCTATTTAAATGCACATTATATAATAAATGGAGCAATCCCAGACTGAATTCTTTTTGGAAAGTTTCTCAGTTGGCACCAAAAATAAGTGTTAGCCAAAACTCTTCCAGCTCGGTATAAATAAAATGGTCCACCTTCTGCCCCTCTAAGACAAAGACTCAGAGAACACATAGTTTTGTATTGTGCTCAAAGCCCAATACATTTCAACTCTTATCAGATTAAAGGTGGAAAGGAAATAACCTCCACTGAAAGTGTCTGACCATATTCATTTCCCATCTACATCAAAACGTTATCTCCAGGTCCCCAGACATTCATAACTGTTGTGGTAGACATAATCCAAACTATTCAGCACATCAAAAGCCAAAGACAAATATTTAAGTTACACCCAGAACAAACAGGAAACCAGTGCACATTACAGAACCCAGCTTTAATGCAATTTCTGAAAGAACATGCGAAAGTTGCATTACCCAGCAGGTACAATTTCCAAGTGTTCTTTGGTGTAGCAGTCCCCTTTAAAGCATGTTTTGTAGCAATAACTTCAATATGATGAAGATACTGAGAAGTGTGGTAGGTCAGTCCACATCTGAAGAAAAATAATGCAACTTCCTTACTAACAAAGGGGGAAAAACTAAGCACTCTTGGAAGCCACTGCTACTTGGACCTCAAGAAGCATGTGCGGAGCCATATGAGTTCAGGTTGAAAACACGAGCAACTAACTGAGAGCATGACCCCTCAACCAAGGGAACCGAGTGCAAAATCCTGAAGGGAAAGACTGAAAATTCCCTCCATAAACAGCCCCAATATCTCCCTATTAAACCAAAGGTTTCTGACAACCAAATAATGTGAGATCATGAATGGACCAAATATATGCTGT